AAGGATGCTCCAGGGAGCTTTCTCTTCTCTGTGCCAGAGCTGCAGCTTTCAAAAAAGGCCTAGAAGGGCTGGAGATGTGGCTCAGGGGCCCTGAACCTTCCTGGCAAGTGGAAGGTCCTAAGTTCCATTCCCAGTTAACGCTTCCCCCCCCCCCCAAAAAAAAGGCCTACACTGTGTGGACCCACCTGAAGAAAGCAGGAAGCATTGTTGTCTGGTCAGCATCATCTTGTTATAAACTTGAGTCATTTGCCTTCTAGGACAGGCTGGGAGTACAGCAGTTAGAGAGTACATCTCACAGCCATTGATGATGAGCTGGAAATGCTGATGCAGGGAAAGTACTCTACCCTCCCTGGAAGGGTAGCATGTACTTTGCAGCAGGAGCTGGCTCCAGCCAGGCCCTCTAATCTTAAGCTACTCCTTTTCCTTAGTGTCCTAACCCAAAGTTTTAAGGTAGGACTTGAAAGGTTTGTTTGTTTTTCCGATGCTGGTAATCCAGGTCTCACTTACACTAGGCAGGTGCTCCACTGCAAGCTACATACACCTGAGACCTGATGTCTTCTCATGTACCAAGAGCACTGCCTTTGAATCAACTGCGAGGACCTTCTCTCTTGTATGCTGTGTGGAAGAGGTTCTGCTGCCTCCTTTGGCATGGTTATCATAACTCAGCCAGACAGCCAGGAAGTCCCTAATGAAGTCTGACCCAACCCCACCCTTTGTGAGGCTGACCTGGTTCTGATAAAGATGCCTCTGCCCCACAGTCCTTGATGCCTGAGGGAGGTCGGCCTCCCTCATACCTGGTGTGTCCCAGCTGGAGCCAGGCCACTGAGGGATGGGCGCTGCTTCTCCCAGGCTCACAGCAGACACAAATGTTCCATTGCTGCTGACTGCCCCGCCCGGCCTGGGGCAGGGTGATGACTTCACCCTAACATTCTCTGCCATTCCCAGCTTTTGTGCTCAGTGTGACTCTTAGGGCCAGAAGCACTCCTGGGTTGAGTGGGGCTTTCTCATTCGTTTTCTTGGGGGCAAGTTTTCCTCTCATTTTCCTGGTGCATTTCTCGGGGAAACCCTCTTCCTGTGTTTCCTGCATTCTCTCCCCGCCAAGTCTTTCTTCCCCACTCCAGGAGGCTGAGCATCTGACAAGCCACTGCAGAGGTTGGGGCCCAAAACATTTTTCTGGGTTGGACGAGTATTTTGTGTGAAGTTACAGCTGCTGAGATCAGGGTCTGAACGCCTCTCTGGGACTGAAAGAATTGGAATGGAAAGCCCCAAATTGGGATTGGCCGGGCTCCCAGCCCCACATGGCTTTCGCGTGCAGCAGCACATGTCAGAGAGGATTCCCAAAGCTGCTCTTGCTAAGAACTCAGCCTGCCCTGCCCTGCCGCAGGGCACACTGGGAACTGGCACAGGGCTTGACTTCTTAAGGTAGCTATTGTACATACTCAGGGTGACTTAAGGTGGAGCAGATAGATGAGTAGAAAGTGACGAAAAAGTAAGCAAATGTGTGACTTTGAAGATATGTAGGCAAGAGTAGTCCTGACCTTTTATGATTCCCATAATGTAGCTGGCTTTCATTTTACCTGCATCCCAAAAAGCTGTGAGGAGACTGAGTACAGAATTCAGGCTCCAGAGGAATGGATGACACCATCCCCGTGGACAAGGAAAAGACAGAAGTGTTCGTGCTCCCTGGAGACCGTGGGAGGGAGCAGTGGCGGCTTACTCGCGAGGCGCAGAGGAAAGCAGCTTTCCAGCCTGCCCCGTGGCGCGGGAAGCAGGAACTTCAGTGCAAATCCCTGGCGAGTCCCAGCAAACTGGGACCAGTTGGTCACACTAGAATGACGCCTCAGCTGGACATAGCTGCCTCCGGACCCAACGCCCCGTGGATGGAGGTCTGCATCCAACTGCCTCTCATGGAGGAGACGAGACTCTGCCACTTACCAGCCCAGGGAATCCCGTAACCGCTCCAGGCCATGGTTTGCTTAGATGTGTGGAGTTAATAGTGTCTACCTCCTAGGGTTTGTGCTGTTTGAATGAGAAAACACAAATGCGCCTGGTGAAGCATCAGGCACATGGTAATCTTTTAAATGTTAGCAGTCTTATTTATTATTCATCCATTTAGTTCATTCAACAGATTTGTATGTGTACAGTGTTCCGGGCACTGCTATAGGCCTGCAGAAGAGAGACAAACACGGCCGTTGCGGAGCGGGAGAGACAAACAGTAAATGACAAATCCTGTAGCATGTTAGGTGAGAAGATGGGGGCTAGGCGGAGTGAGGGCGGAGAGTGCCATGCAGAGAAGGTGCCCTTTAGGTTGCCCTCAGGGAGTGGACAGCGGCCTAGAGACCGGAGGAGGTGGAGGAGGTGGGGTCAGGGATCTGGGCAGAGGCAGTGCTGTGCAGGGGCCCAAAGCAGAAGCACAGCCCTGTTCAGTGGGCTGGGAGAACAAGGAACGTGAGGAAGTGGGAGCGATGGGCACCAGGGGCTCACATTGGGCCCTTCAGGCCACCGTGGGTCTTTGGGCCCAGTTTCACTCCAAGTAAAAGCCACATGGGACATTAAGCAGATGAGCGGCATGAACTGCTTCAGGTCTTGGAAGCAGCCCTCTGGGTTTGAGTTTAAGAGCAGGAGGGCACTGCTGGAAGCCAGGAGACCAGTTAGGAGAAGCCACAATGCAGGAGAGAGACGCTGGTGGCTGAGACCAGGGGACAGCCAGGGAATGGGAAGGGGTTGAACTCTGGATATGTTCTGAAGATGGGGTTGATAGGGTTTCTTGACTAAATAGATACAGGGGATGAGAGAGGAGAGCCATAGGCTGTCTGGGAACGCTCCTTTCCCAGGCCCTGGCTTTCCGTTCTAGTGAACCCGACTGTGCAGAATGGAGCATCAGAGGGCATCAGGGAAGCGGCTCAACTTGCTTCTGGTGCTTTGGGGGACCCTGCTCCCCTGCGGAGCCCCGCTGTGCTGCCAAGGTGAGGCCCTGGGGCCCTGAGTGGCAAGAGGCCCTGCATCACAACACTGGGCAACGTTCCTAACTAGTTCCCTGTTCTCCTAACCTCAGCAAGTGAGCATTTGGCCTCGGGGGTGCCTGTTCGCCCCACCCTTTCCCTCTAGGCAGGCTGCTGAACACTTCCGTCATTCCAGCCCAGACCGATGAGGATCCAGGTACTGTGCCACTCCTGCCAGTTTTGCTTGTAATGGAAAAGAGATGCCACCTCGACCCAGCAAACAGTACTCCCTGGAATCTGTTTTCCCATTTTCAGAATCTTTTCCTGCCTGAGTGTCTGTCTTCCTCAGGTCTAACTGAGTTCCTTCCTGCTGCCACCAAGGGCCACACAGTCAGGTACTGTTCCGAGGAAATGGAGATGTTGGCCCTCTCCGTGCCATTGCTATCCACTGTGTCGTGTTGACGGGGTGAAGAAATCCTCTGGCATCTCTGCCTCTGTTTTGTCCTTCCGGCTCCTCCCAGTGGTCTGCTCTGCGTGGAGCACCATCTGCCCAGCTGCTGAGCTTTTTCCAAGACAAAAGGTGCCCCACCCTGCCTGTGAGAACCTATCAGACCTCCAGCCAGCAGCTTCCAGCACCAAGACTGGTTTGCTGCGGTGGGCGAACAATTTGATGAGTGCCAAATGTCTTGAACTGCCATGCTAGGATTCGCTCCCACTTTAAAGAACAGTCCTGGGAGCCAGGAGAGGGGCCCTGAATTCTTAGGGAGGCATTAAGAATAGTTCTGCCTATCTCATTTCCCTCTGAGAATGTGCCTAGAATGTGTGTGGTGTTGTGTGGTTCTGTGCGTTGTGCATGTGTGGTATAGGTATGATGTGTGGTATTGTGTGGTATGTGTCTGACATGCACAACCTGTGGGGTGTGTGCTATGTCTGCATCTATCTAGGGTATATATGTATTATGTATGTGATATGTGTGTGGTGTGTATGTGTCTGGTGCATGATATATGTGTAGTGTGTATGTATGGGGCACGTGACGTGAATGTGGTGTGTATCTGTAAGCTGGCCAGTAGGTGTGTTTCCATGTGCTGGGTGTGTGTGGATGCAGGTATACAAGTGTACAAATGTGTTGGTGGGGAGGATGCTGATAATCAAGAACTGTGTAGTATCTGAAAACTTAGTGACCTTGCCTTTCTTATCCTCTTTGTATTCAACCTGAGTAGTAGCATTTCTCTTACTGCCTACTTAGTACCTACTTGGTAGAATAGTAGTACCACTTAGTAGGGTGTGTATATAACAGAAAAGCAGAGACGTATGTGCTTAGAAAGGATGCCTATAAGTTACAGTCTCAAAGCCTCTGCTCGGGTGATCTACAGCTCCTAAAACTTGGAATCAGCATGTGTGGATGGGCTCTGCCTCAGCCTGGCATGACCGTGAGCAGGTAGCTTGTTCTTTCTGGCTTTTGTATATGAGCCGGTGGATTTACGGTAACTCTGTATTCCAGTAACTCTGTATTCCAGTGTGCAGCAGCATTTATATGTTACTATGAGAGAAAAGTTCTCTGCGCATCCCAAGGAACTATTTTTGGGTTGTTTTGTTTTGTTTTGGAGATGGGGGTCTGTTACGTTGCCTGGGTTGTCTTTGAACTTGCAGTCCTTCTACCTTCTAGCCTCCCAAGTAGCCGGGATTCCACGTGTGCACCACCACACCCGTTTCCCGAGGAACATTTCAGTGTTTATATTCTTAGATCTGGAGCTTGTAGCATACTCCATGAGGAGAGGTGAAATATTTTGTCTGCGTTAGTTTATCCTGGGTACTAAGAGAACCCAGGGGCACCTGTCCCGAGGCCACCTTGTCACACTGTGCCCACATGTAAACTAAAAGTTCAGGGAAAATCAGGATGGTTGTCCAGCTTAACTAAGTCTCACAGTTGGGCAGGTCAGGCAGCAAAGGGTCTTTTTAAAGGTGTCTTTTGCTTTTTCACAAGAGGGCTTTTAACTGCCTTCTGTTATCATTCCCCCTCTTCTTCCCATCCATCATTCATTCCCCTCTCCTTTGCAGGTCTTTCTGGGAACCCTGCTGACCTGGAGAAACGTAGACTCAAGTTTGGACAGAACTTGATCCCCCCAAAAAAGCCCAAGACCTTCTTAGAGTTAGTGTGGGAAGCCCTTCAAGATGTCACGCTCATCATCCTGGAGATCGCAGCCATCATCTCCCTCGTCCTGTCCTTCTATCGGCCCCCTGGTGGAAATAATGAATGTGAGTACATAAACAGCTCAGCACGGCTCTGATCTGGGTTCTTTCCATTATTACCAAAGGCGCTTAGCCTGGGTGGTTGACTGATGAGGCACAAATCTTCCCCCTTTATCTAGTGAGCTCTCTAAAAGAAACCAGCCTAGCAGCTAGCAAGCTGTTCTCATTTACCCTCATCCCAGGTTCTTCCCCTTCTCCCACCAAATCTTTTTTCAGAATGTCACAGATCCTCTGCCCTCACCTGATCAATAAAGTGCCACCTCTCAAAGAGCCCCTACCAATGGTCTGGACCGTGTTGAAAGTCATAAGTTTTTTACATACGACTTGTACAGTTACTTGCTTCTTATCAGAGTAACATAAATGGATAAAATGATGGCGAGATTCTCAATCCTGCTATCTTCTGATTTCCCCAGAGGAGAGCTCCTCTACCTAAGAGTTTTCCTTTCTCATTTTCTCTTTCCCTTACTTCCCATTCTGTGGAGCACTGCCCTCCTTTCTTAATGTCAACAAGAGGCCCCTGGGGACTGTTTTTCTCCTTTTCCTGGATAGTATGTGGTCAAGTCGCAAGTACCCCAGAAGACGAAAATGAGGCAGAAGCTGGCTGGATCGAGGGGGCTGCCATCCTGTTCTCAGTGATCATCGTGGTATTGGTGACTGCCTTCAATGACTGGAGCAAAGAGAAGCAGTTCCGGGGCCTGCAGAGCCGTATTGAACAGGAGCAGAAGTTCTCCATCATCCGGAACGGCCAGCTCATCCAGCTGCCTGTGGCTGAGATTGTAGTGGGGGATATTGCCCAAATCAAATACGGTGAGAGCCTCATGTTTCTCAGACCTCTGCCCCCAATCCCACCCACGCACGTTTGAGGATAGGGCCTTTGGCATGAGGGGGCTGGGGATTGCTGAAAATCCAAAGGATGAGCCCCCAAGTTGTGTTAGCATCTAGGTTAGAGTGTAAGGAGGTTGTAGAAAGGAATTTCGAAGACAGTAATAGCTGAGATTCTCCCAACAGGTTGTCAGACTTGCACATTATGTGTCTTGAGATTCAAAGTATGTAATACTCAGGCCATAGGAAGGTGATTGGGGTTAATGATAGTTTGAATTTATAATACCTGAAGTAATTTTTTTTATTTTGATGGTGCTAGGGCTATAACCCAGGGCCTTGTGCATGCCAGGCATGCACTCTACTGCTGAGGTACAGCCCAGCCCCAGAGCAATCTACCTGGCCATCACCCTAAGGAGAAGGCCCATGGAGGAGCTCTGAGATGAGAGGTGGAGTGGGAGCCCCCTCTGCCAGGCCCTGGCCTGCTCTCCCTCACACCTGCTGCTTCTCTCTGCACTAGGTGACCTGCTACCTGCAGATGGGATCCTGATCCAGGGAAACGACCTGAAGATTGATGAGAGCTCTCTGACAGGGGAGTCAGACCATGTCAAGAAGTCCCTGGACAAAGACCCCATGTTGCTGTCAGGTAGAGCCTCTGGGTGCCCACAGCCATGCTTCTGCCCCTCAGACAGCCAGGCTGTGAGCCCCAGCCTGGCCTTCTCCTCTAGCTCCGTTCCATCTCCTCCCCTGGGCTCAGCGGAGGCAGTAGCACACGGAGGTGTTGAATACAAGGAATATCAGGCAACCTGAAAGAGATTTTCTATGAAATCGGTGTTGTTAAGGTCTTGGAAAGGCTCAGCTGTTTGGGGAGGGGGATGAAGGAAGGGCTTAGCCTGAAGGACTCACATTCCCTCCTGACCTTCAGTGTGATTGGTCTGTTTTAAATGGATCCAGGTCTTGACCTTTTCTTACTCTCTGATAGGTGTATCAGTATCCATGGGCCAGGCATCATTTTTAAGTTTGTGTTTGACACCACATCACAGTAGGTTTTAAAGAACAGCACTCCTTCCCATCCTCTCCTTTGCCGTGCAGGGACTCACGTGATGGAAGGTTCTGGCCGGATGCTAGTGACTGCCGTGGGGATCAACTCCCAGACAGGAATCATCTTTACGCTCTTGGGGGCCAGCGAGGATGATGAGGAAGAGAAGAAGAAGAAAGGTAAAGGGCGCTCGGGCGTTCGGAGTGAGAGGCTCTGTCCTCTCCTCCCATGGACACACTAGCGATCTGGATGGGAAGCCTGCCTGGAAGCATTTGCTAGAATGAAGAGGGCCGATACCCAGGCTCTTTGCCAAGATGAAGATGTAAACCTTGGCTGTCCAGGGAGCTCTGATGAAAACCAGATCTTGGTTCGAGGCTCCAGGTCAAATTGCATTTGAGCCTCGATTCCTGTGTGATCGGTGGGTTTGACCCAGTTGAGTTAAACCCTGCTCAAGGCGAGCTGGCTTAGTGTGACACCAAGTGCCCTCTGTGTGTGTCCCCCTCCTTCCTCCTCAAGGAGGGGGGATTTAATGAACCATCACAGCTAAGGGCAAACTGATCAGAAGGATAAAATGGATTCCTGCTGAAACTCTGGGCTCTTGGTGGAAGAGAGACACAGCTAGAAGAGTGGGAAGAGAGGTCATGTCCACCCTGAAGTTAGTCCAGTCTTGCCATTCACTTGCTGCTGAAGTAAGAACAGCAGGAGAAAGAGAAAAAGATATAACCAGATTGCACCTTTCCCTAGCATTCCGTATTCCCTTGGCGGGAGACAGATTTCTACCACTTGGCCAGAGGATAATCTTGAGCTGTTTAGTGGAGAGCAGTGTATGAAAAGGAAACAACACATTCTCTCCCGACTAGACCATCATTTTCCCAGTCACCTGCCAGTGAAAGAGGAGGAAGCCTGCCCAGTGCTGTTGAATTGACAAGAGACACCTTTGAGGGCCTTTGCCACTAAATAGAAAGTGTTCTCACTTCTCAATGCCCAGCCCCACCCCATTTCCCAAGAGCACCCTCCCTCCCAGCAGCGGCCATCCCCAAAAGGAAGCAGCGCAGGTGCAAGCTTGCACTTACCTGTGTGAGCACTCTGCTCGTGCCCCAGGGAGTCATTAGAGCTTCCAGGAAGAGTGAATAAGAGCAAAGATGTGAGCCTCCTTTATATTTATTGCCTTTCCCTGCAAGCCACCTCCTTCTCTGTAGCTCTTCTGGTCTCAGAGCAGGACAAACAAATTGCGTATCCGATCTCTTAATAGTCGCTTCGAGTTTCCACCCCAATTTTTTCCTTCTTGTTCTTTCTTGTTCAAAGGTAAAAAACAAGGAGTCCCTGAAAATCGCAACAAAGGTAACCTCTCTACCCACTCATTTGCCACCTATGCCTGCCCACGCTCAAACCAGACCTGTCCGGGCCATCTGCCTTCTCCCTTCCCTCTTCATCACCTGTTATCTGCTGCTGTGGCCCCAGATGGCTCATCTTGAGGAAGGTGCAGAGATCTGGGGTGGGGTCAAGGGCCCAGTCCCGGTCTAGATGGGACCGCAGCGCCCTCTGCTGTTGGCTCCCGGAACCTCACGTCAGAATTTCTCGGGTGTGAGGGGGTTGATCTGCTCTTCTCAGGACATTAAGCTTGCTGCGGTTGCCCTTGGCCTGATTTTAAACACCAAAAAGTCATCAGTCTCTGGGTTGGGAGGGTGGGCAGTCCCTGCACCCTCCTCTTGCTAGCTTCCTCATCAGTGTCCTAGTGTGGATTCCTTCTCTGCTGGTCTTCTTGGGGTACCTGCGGAGAGTCCTTTCTCTCTACCTCTCTCCCCACTCTTTGTTCTTTGTAGTCTGTCTTGTTGCTCCTGATCTGCTGTGTGTTTTTCTCTCTTGGTGACTGTCTCTGCATCCCGTCTCTGTCTTGTTTGTGAATCTGACAGCAGAGACAGCCCCTCAGGAAGCGCATCCTAGGCAAGGGGCTGAGCTCTGTAGGGATGAAGTTGGAGGACTCTTGGGAACCAGCAAGAATTGCTCTCCTGAGACAGCACTTAGAGATTCTTTCCTTTGTAACCCATGTCATAGCAGTCTTTAGAAATGGTCATGTCGGAGTACCAGGGCCAAACAGAAATGATCCTTTAATTTTAGGTGTCTTTATATCTTCTTTGAAAAGCAAAATAGATTTATATGTCTGTCTTTATCCCTGCTTTCTCTTATTCCAGGGGTCCCTTTATACCAACTTCTTCCTCTCCTCCAAAGACTTAACCCTAGGTCCCACTTTGTACCACCTGGTCTTTTCAAACTGGGGAGAAAGGAGATTTCCTTCCCCAGTCCTTCACTTTATATAAGAAGGAGCTAGAAAATACCTTGGCCATGGGAGTCTGTGTTTCTTTCCTGACAGTCCACATAGAGAGAGGGAGAAAGGTGAACCTTTTAACAGGCAGCTAGGACCCCAGTGCCCTAGAAACCACTGCCAGACTTTCCCTTCAGCCCCTCTCTGCAGTAAACATTCACTATTTTAAGCACTGAATCCCAGGAAGGATGGTTGCTGATAATAGTCCTTAGAGGCATGATTAATCCCCTTGCTGGAATAAACCTGGCCTGGAGCTCTGAGTTGGTGCCAGGAAGCTGCCACTGAAGAGGAAATCCAGACCCTAAAAGCACCCCCGTTTTATGTCCAGTTAGTGGACTGTTGTTCCAAAGGCCCCAGTAGAGGGTTGAAGGCGAGTTCTGTGTCTGGGACGGGGTGGGACTGATCAGAATGTCAGGACCTGAGGTGTGGTCCAGGAAAAAGATGAGGGTTCTTAATTTCCATCTGCCTGCCACTCAGAACCATCACCTTGTCTGCTCACTTTTGCATTTGTGTGTGCACTGTAGCAAAGGCCCAGGATGGAGTGGCCCTAGAAATCCAGCCGCTCAATAGCCAGGAGGGGATTGACAATGAGGAAAAGGAGAAGAAGATCTCCAAGGTGCCCAGAAAGGAGAAGTCGGTGCTGCAGGGCAAGCTGACGCGCTTGGCTGTTCAGATTGGGAAAGCCGGTGAGTGGGGTCCAGCCAGCTTTTTGTTCTATGCCAGTGTGGATGCTCACAGCACCAACCAAGTCTGGCAGAAGGAAGCGGGAGCTTTTAAGTTGCCAGTGCATTCTGGCTGACTGTGTCCCTGTCTGCCACCATTTGGCTTTTTCCGAGAAATGTTTCCCTACGTGGAAGGGCTCACCGCCCCACTGTCTCTTTCATGTACACAGATGGGAAGTAAAGAGTGCACATAACAGCAGGGGAGACACATTAGCAAGAAGGAAGGCTTTAAGAGCTCTTACCTGTCTCTTGTTTGGGCTGGCAGATTCCTTAAGGACAGAGAAGGGCACAGTTTCCTGGAGGCAGTTCCCTTGTGTAGTGGTAGCATGTGGTTGGCACAGAGCAGTGAACACAGAATAAAGACTAGGGGAAAGAGGCAGGCTGTGGTCCAAGAGGGTCTCCAGAGGAGTGGCCACTAACTGCATTCCTGAGCTGTGAAAGCAACTTGCCTCTCCATCACTCGCCTCTGTGTCTCCTCTCTCCCACCACCTTTTTCAGTGGTGGGGGCTGGGATTGAGAGGAGGGAACAATAGGAAAATTGTCCCTCAGTGCTCATGTCCCTAATACTTCTGTGTATTTTTCCAACCCAGTCTTCTGTTTGCCACAATTGTAATTGGTACATTTCTGTGTATAGTTCATCCTGGGTTCTTGTTAAAGTACAGATTTGGCTCAGCACATCTGCAGCAGGGCCTGAAATTCTGCATTTCTAGTAACTGCCCAGACAGTGGCAATGCTGCTGATCCATTAAGCACACACCAGGCAGTACGGATCTATGCTGCAGGTGGCTGTGTCCATTTAAATTACATCAAGTTAGAAATTTGGTTCCTCTGTTCATTTCAAATGACCAGTAGCTGCATGTAGCCTGTGGCCATCACACTGGGTAGCGCACACAGAGAACATCTGAAGCACTGAAGGAAGTTCTGTGGTAGGCGATCTCATAACCAGGTACTTTTGACTACCTTGAAATCTCTTGCATATGAACTCAGTATGGAGGAGATGAGTTGCAAATGCAGGAACACGCTATGGAGCCTGACATAGTTTCAAACATTCAATAGACTTCTCCTAACCCTACTGTTGTCCTCATTCCTGCCTTTTTCTTTGGAGTGTTGAAGCTACCAGAAGATTGGCCTGGAGTCCGTTTTATTTCTCATGTCAAGCCAGGTCAGGACTTGGGTAATGCCTTCCACCACCCCGAGAACGAGCACCTCCCCACATTTTATACCATAGGTGCCTTTCTTCTTAAACACCCTAGTCCTGGTCCTGATCAACTGAAGTACAAACAAAGATGCTTTCATTGGTATCATCACCTCCTAGCCTCACTCTGAGGCCCCTGAATCACTGACCCTTAGGAAAAGCTGAGTTCAAAACCATACTGTGGTTTCAAGCACTTTCCCCCAGTGCTGTGCGTTAGATAGGAACGGGCACCTGGACAGTGATGCTTCAGCCCTCAGAGGAGCCCATTGGGTGTTTGACCTTGAATAGATTCTTCCATTTACCTCAGTGTGTACGGTACCCCACTGTCCTGGTTGGTTTGGCACTTTCTTGATTTTAGCAGTGAAAGTTTTATATCCCAGACAATTTGTTTGCTCTTAAGCAAGCCAGGGTGATTGGTCACCCTATACCAGTATATTATATTCAAAGCCTTAGTTTTAGTTTCTTTTCCAGTAGTGAAGATCAAACCAGGGGCACTTTACCACTGAGCTACATTTCCATCCCTTTTATATTTTTTACTTTCAGCTGGGATTGCAGGTGTGCACCACTGTGCCTGGCTTATTATCCTGTTTTCAAAGAAGAGACACTTAGCTGGGCATCATGACACATGCCCGCAATCCCAGCAACTCAGGAGGTGAAGGCAGAAGGACCTTGAGTTCAAGGCCAGCCTGGGCAACATAGCAAGGCTCCATCTCAAAACAAAAATTGAAAAAGGACTAGAGGGCTGGGGATGTAGCTCAGTGGCTCGGCGCCTGCCTGCCAAGCATGAGGCCCTGAGTTCAATTCCTAGTACTGGATTAAAAAAAGGACTGGGAGCGTAGCTCCGGAGTGTGGAGCACTTGTCTGGTATGCATGCAGTCCTGAGTTTGATTCCCGAGTACCACCACCAAAAATAGAAAAGAATCCTCTCTAATAGTAACCTACCTCATGGGGTCATCGTGAAGGGCTTGTGAAGGGTTTTCTTGGCCCACAGCAAGTGCCATATAAATAGTTGCACGTTAGGGTTTGGAAGCACTCTTCAAAGGGTCTGTCTTATCAGTGCTGCGCTAGCATCATTGGGACACCTCCATAACCAAGTTATGACTGCTCCAACATTCACGGGCTAATAGGGGAGGAGTCAAAATCCGTGAACTGCTAGCAAGTGAACAAATGCAGTTGTCTCATTATGAGTTGTGGAATACAACCATGAAATGCTGACTCGGAAAGCATGAACTAATGCTCTTATTATGAATGAAAAACTTAGTCTTGGAAACAGGAGCAGATGCGGTTGACTAGTCAAAGCTGTGAGTTAAGTCAGTGCAGTGCTAAGAGTAGAACCTGGGTCTTTTTTACACATAGTGTACAAGCAGCAGAGCATGGGTGGGAGATTTTCATCTGACCCCTTCAAAATGATGGTTTTAAAAATTAGTAGAGAGACTACAGTTTCTGCTAAGGTTAGAGTCCTGGGAGTGCCCTCAAGCCTAGGTTCATGTGACTGTTTCCCTGGACAGGTCTGATCATGTCCGCTATCACAGTTGTCATCCTGATTCTGTACTTCGTGATTGACAACTTCGTGATACAAGGCAGAACATGGCTGCCGGAGTGTACTCCTGTTTACATCCAGTACTTTGTCAAGTTCTTCATCATCGGCGTCACAGTGTTAGTGGTGGCTGTGCCAGAGGGGCTGCCACTGGCTGTCACCATCTCACTGGCCTACTCTGTGAAGGTGAGCCTGGAATGACACTGTTTCTTCCTGCAGGACAGGGATGGGAGGGAGGGCACCGTGGAGCCTTTGGCAAAAGGATAAGCCATTGCATCCCCCGTAAACTCTGGGTGGCCCATCACCAGAGCAGAAATCCCTGACACTGGAGAGACCATCTCCATCAGCTGCATCAATGTTTAAATAAACCAGTAGAATCTTAGGAGATTCGCAAAACTCATCTCTTGCATTTTTGTATAGCACTGGAAAATAAAATGTGGAGCGATGTTGGCTAGGATGTAGCCTCTGACCTGTTTGGGTGGTGAGACCAGTCCGTCTTCTCTCAAGTCTTCTCTGTTTTCCTTTGTAGAAAATGATGAAAGACAATAACCTGGTGCGGCACTTGGATGCTTGTGAGACAATGGGCAATGCCACCGCCATTTGCTCTGATAAGACGGGCACGTTGACCATGAACCGCATGACAGTGGTACAGGCTTACATTGGGGGCACCCACTACCATCAGATTCCAAGCCCTGATGTCTTCCCACCTAGGGTCCTGGACCTTGTTGTCAATGGCATTTCTATCAACAGTGCTTATACCTCTAAGATATTGGTAAGCTCCCCCTTTGCCTGGGTACTTGGAATGGGCAGTTGGAGGAGAACAGCAGTTTTCTCTGAGACAAATCCCTTACTGTTTCTTCTGCCTGAATTGCCATCCTATATCCCTTTCTCACTCCTGAATATGATCAAATGTGTTCAGGTTGAGACTGGTCTCCAGGAGCCTGTGACCCTCTAGTCACCCTAGAAAGACAGTGTCCCTAAAGAGGAACCTCATGCTCGCAGCAGACTTGAGCTTATCAGGAGAAAAATTACCTTCTAGAAGCAACGCATTAGAATAAGTCCCACACAGGGTGAGACACCTACATTACAACTAGAGCAAATGAAAGTCCCCTAGATGGGAGTGGCTCTGGGATCAAGCTCACCACTGACCACTGTCTGACTACCCTTGAAACACCAGCAAATGCTACCATCCGTGTGGGCTCTGGGTTTACCTGTGACTTTGACTTTTTATTTATTTATTTTTACTTTGCCGTCCTGGGACTGAACCCAAGGCCTTGGGCAGAGTAGGCAAGAGCTCCGCCACCAAGCCACACCCCCAGCTCTATGTCAGATTATGGTAGGGGAGTCCTGACCTTCCTAAGGGCTTTCTCTACTGCATGCATCTTTTCCCTCAGCCTCCAGAGAAGGAGGGAGGCCTGCCACGGCAAGTGGGCAACAAGACCGAATGTGCTCTGCTGGGCTTTGTCACTGACCTGAAGCACGATTACCAGGCCGTGCGCAATGAGGTGCCTGAGGAGAAACTCTATAAGGTGTACACCTTCAACTCTGTGCGCAAGTCCATGAGCACAGTCATCCGGAAGCCCAGTGGAGGCTTCCGCATGTTCAGCAAGGGTGCTTCAGAGATCATCTTGCGCAAGTGAGTGCCCTGTCCCGGTCTGCTTCTTCCTCCGGATTTGCCCCTTAGGGAGGTCTGCATGACATGCCCCACACTGAACTGATCAGAATGATTAGTGAGCCCTCCAGCCAGGCAGTGACATCTATTTAACATCGGAGCTTTTACTCAGGCCATGCATTGCTTTTAAGTACTTTAGCTCCTTTTATTTAATTCCCATAACTCTATGAAGTGGGTTCTGTTATTACCTGTTTTACGGATGAGAAAACAAGGAAGTCATGTAATTTGCTCAAGGAGATACAACTAATAGAGACACAGCCTGGATTCAGACCTGGACAATCCAAACTTCCATGTCCTAATCTGAAAACAAAGATAGTCATACTCAGAAAAAACACCATCTCACTGAAATTAAGTGATCAATGAATCTAAGGTGCCTTGCACATAAAATTGATAGCAGTGTTAGCTCCAAGTTCCCCATTCTCAGTTCTGATTACAGTTAATTTGCATAACTTCAAAAATGGCTGGACTATCCATGAGTCATGAAAAGTTGACTCAGCTTGGGTTTCAGGTCAGTAGAGCTAAAGCAGTGCCTCCCCGGCCCTCAGCTACCTCCTTTTAATCAACACATTCTCGATTAGCACCCTCCTGTGTACAATTATAGATTGAAAAGTCTCTGCTAGGGCTGGGGATTTAGCTCAGTAGCTTCACCACCTGCTGCGCAAGTGCAAGGACCCGCATTTGATCCCCGGTACCAAAAAAAAAAGAAAAGAAAAGTCTCTGCTTTTAGAAAGTTCAAAAAAGCAGGTGATCCACAGATGACAGCATTGCATTCCCATGTGAATAAGAACAAGGGACCTGAGAGAGTCACACTTGCTGCCCACCTAGACCTTACTCAATCCGTGGGCCACCCTCCCTTGGAAAGAGGAACTGAGCTAAGTAATGGATCAAGGAGATACTTGGTCAAGGAGCGGCCTTGGGAATAACACAGAGTTGTCAGAATGTCAGTAATGATTGTAGAAACAGACTGAGTAGGAAAGAAGACTGCTTTCTGACCGTGTGTCTCCCCAGGTGTAATCGAATCCTGGACAAGAAAGGGGAAGCATTGCCATTCAAGAATAAGGACCGAGATGACATGGTGCGCACTGTCATTGAGCCCATGGCTTGTGAAGGACTCCGGACTATCTGCATAGCTTACCGGGATTTTGATGATGCAGAGCCCTCATGGGACAACGAGAATGAGATCCTCACTGAACTGACCTGTATCGCAGTGGTGGGCATTGAAGACCCTGTGCGTCCAGAGGTGAGACTTTGTCTTGGAGAAAGGGCAAAAACAGGAGTGAAAGTCTCCCAGTGGCCACTGGTCCAAGCACCAGCCCAGTCTGATCTAAGGAGAAGCCACCTAGGCGTCACAGGAAGTGGGTGCAAGTTCCTTGTCTATTTGTGACCCCAGGCAAGTTCCCTGACTGCTACCAACTTACACAGAGAGAGATATTTCTGTGGTTCCCACAGCTTCTCTGGCGTGTCCACTTGACAGGGGTGGCATTCCTTGGGTTAGTGGTGTTTGAGTGGTAAGAAGCAATAGTTTTATTGGACTTAATCTTTGGTCAGGAGGGAGGATTAACTGGGACACCAACTTCGTCTTTAGCCTCCTTGTTTTAACCAGTGTAGTCTTTTCAATGAGCCTGTGTACTGAGCACTGTCCTAGACACAAGGGGATTGGGAAAATCTCTCTTCAGGGAAGTTCAGACAGTTAGCCTGGCCGTTGTCAAGGCCAAGGGTGGAGTCGGTGTCCTGCATTTGGGAAACTACAAAGCGCTGATGTGGTTGGAGCCTGGGCCAGGCAGGCGGAGAGTAGTTCAAACTTGTGCTGAGAAGAAGAGCGGCGGCCACACCTCCAGACACCACCTGTGCCCTGCTGAGGTGCCCAGATTGTAAGAAGAGCACAAGTGTTTACGCGTGACTCCCGAAGCGCATGTCCCTGCAGCGCCTGGGATAATAAGTGAAACTCAGATGTGACTCCCGCGGGATGAACAGAAGCAAGGTGGCAATGGGCGCTATGAAAACGACTGGGTGTAGCAGGCCCCGTGGCACAGCTCCTCTGGTGCCTTTCTGCTGTCCACTGTGAAGGGGGAGCAGAAAAGGAGCAGCTTACCAGGCGTCACCATCTTTTTCTCTCTCCTTCTTCACTCTCCAAAGGTCCCGGATGCGATTGCCAAATGCAAACGAGCTGGCATCACTGTCAGAATGGTGACAGGTGACAACGTCAACACAGCCCGGGCCATTGCCACCAAATGTGGCATTCTGACACCTGGAGATGACTTCTTGTGCTTAGAAGGCAAGGAATTCAACAGACTCATCCGCAATGAGAAGGGCGAGGTGCGTCCTGGGTGGGAGGAACCGGTGTTCACTGGATGAGGGGAGGGCTGGTTCTAGCGTACAGCATCTGGACGTGTGGGAGAAAGTGGGTGGATTCTAAACTGAAATCTGCTCATCGTGAGACATCCCTTCCTACCAAAGCAGCTCAGCTAGAGAAATGGGGAGCTGTCTGTCTTCTCACTATCTTCATTCACAAATTATCTTTTGAAACAATGCCACTAACTTTTCACGTCAGTCTGCATTTTCAGTGCTGAGATGGTTTCGCACTGATCTCCCTACCTCATCCCTCCCATGTCACTGCCCTATGGCTAAGAGTAGCTCATAAGAGGAGGTGGTCTGGGTGTGGGACGGACCAAAGCTTCCTGGTCTACACAGAAAAATGAAACTAAGGCCTCAGTAACGCCACTTTAGCCCCCTGAGCCAGCAACAAACCCTGGCCCACCTCCTGTCAAGGGTCTAAGGAATATGGATTGGCCCCCAGGTAGGAGACAGGGATGGAACAGAAGGCAAGCAGGACAAGACTGGCCACCGTCAGTGAGCTGAGGTGGCTGTTTCATCTCCATGGGACGGTGGAGTCGCAGCCCTCCTAGCAGCTTGGAGGGCGTGCATACGTGACTTTTCCTTCATGGCTGATCCAGATGTGGTCTGGTGTTGGCAGGTAGAGCAAGAGAAGCTGGACAAGATGTGGCCTAAGCTCCGGGTGCTGGCGCGGTCTTCCCCTACTGACAAGCACACGCTGGTGAAAGGTGAGGTCGGCGAGGGCGGGCTGGGGTGAGGACAGGTAAGAGCATCAGCCAGAGCAAGCCTCCTGTCCTGAACAGGCAGGTTCTAGGAGAGCTCCCAGGCTCATGGGGAGAAAGTTCCATTTAGCAAACATCGGAGCCTTCGGTGAGTGTGACATGTAACCAAGTCGGGCCTTCTAAACATTATATATCTTGTTTGCCAGTAGTACTGTGAATTAGTCATGACAGGTAAAACCATCTTGTTTTGTCAGGAAGCAAGTTGGAGGCTGAAAAGTAACTTACCCAAACTGGCCAGCTAGAGGTAGAATTGGTGCAGCTGAGCCCGGTTCTTGGCCTTCAGGTCCACACTTTTCCCAGCCCCTAAGGCCACTGTGTGAGGACTTCCTTTCCTAGCTAGGGTGCTGCCCATGAAACAGTTACTGCCCTTGGGTGGTGGCTGGAGAAGCTTTAGCATAGGGAGAGGGAAGGAAAGAAGAGAATAAAAAGGAGAGCGATAGAAACTGGGGATATCTCATGGGAAACAGCACGCTGGCGAATGACCTCAGGTGGCACCCGAGTTCTGACTGTCTCTTCTTCCCAGGCATCATTGACAGCACTGTTGGAGAACAGCGGCAGGTGGTGGCTGTCACCGGAGACGGCACCAACGATGGGCCCGCCCTGAAGAAAGCAGACGTTGGTTTTGCCATGGTAAGCTCTGTTTGTCTCACAGTGTCTCCCATTGGGAAGTGGCCTGCTGCTTCTGGAGCCTTCACCCTCCAGTGTGCTGCTTTCTCCAGCTCCATCTCTCCTTCCTACCTTCCCAATAATAATATGTGTCGTGGGGGATTCACCAAGTGTGAACAACAAATGAGAGGCAGGGAAGACATAAACTACCTCACCCAGCAAAACAAGACCAATTTAAACTTGAACGGGAATGCAGTGATGGTTGTTGCCGAGGCAAATTATAGAAGACTTATCTTCCCCCTGAAACCTTGCTCTTTGGCAAGCGTTGCTCAGTACTGTGCTTTTTACTTACAAGGCCAGGAGCATTGGAACTCTTGGAAAGTTCATTTTAAAGCATGTATTCTAAAGTTGGATTGTCCTGATTCAGCAAGGTCCATACCTTGAAAATGTTTGATCTTTGATCTTTTTTTTTTAAAAGCAAGCACACCAGCTCTTTCCAATGTTCAGGGAAGTTCAGAGGCCCCTAGACTGCAAAGTACTTCCTCACACTGAAGTAGCTATGATTGTCAGCCTCCCATTCAAACTGAACTGCTGGTGCTTTTATTTTGTTTTGTTTTGTTTTGTTTTGTTTTGTGGCAGTGCTGGAGATCAAACCCAATGCTTCATGTGTGTGCTCTACCCCAGCCCTGTTTTTAAGCAGTGGAAGGAAAAACAAAAAGTAATCTATTTTTAGAGGGAACATTTTTAAGAAACAAAGTTTTAACTCTAAGAAACTTTAAGAACATGCAAAAGTAGGGAGAACCATATATAATGAATCCCCGTGAACTGTCATTCAGCTTCAGCAATTAGTGACACTCAGCTGCTCTTGGTTCCCTGATACACTGCCTCCACTGCCAACTTCCTCATCTCCAGCTGAATTATTCTGCAGCAAATCCAAGACATTATGTCATTCCAGCCATAAAAGTTTCAGTACATTTCTCTAAATAATTTGTATCAATGAAATATGCCTAAAAGAATAATAACCATTTTTCTCATAACAAAATCATAGCATGATTCTATTTTTTTTTCCCAGTACTGGGGATTGAACTCGGGACCTTGCACTTGCCAGGCAGGCACTGGCACCACTGAGCTAAATCCCCAGCCCTTAAAATTCATGATTCTTTATTAGATATACATGATTCTTTACTAGATATCATTAAATATCTAATGAGTGTTTGTATTTCCCTAACTGACTCGTGAATGCTATTTTATAGTCTGTTTGTCCAAGTCCGGATCCAAATAAGATCTACACCTTGCGATTGTTTGGAACATTTCTCTTTATCTATAGCAGTGGTTCTTGGACTGCATTCTTCCTTACTGCTGTACCTGTGATACCTGGGAACCTGTAGAAATGCAGATTCACAGGCCCTACCCCAGGTCCACCAAATCAGAAAGCCTGGGGTTGAGGCCCAGCCATCAGCTTTAACAAGGCCTTGCAGTGATTCTGATACATCCTAATGTTAGAACCACTGATCATATAGCAAGCATCCTTGTGTTGGGGTCCTGAAGATATCCTTCTCCTCAGGTTCACCAGGACTCGGAACTCAGCAGATAGCTGTACTCAGGCTAAGATTTATTATAGAAGTGTAGCACAGATACAGGTGGATCACAGGAGAAAAAGGCACTGCCAGAGTCTGTATGAATCCACCTGCAGTCATCATTATGTTCTCCCTCCCACGAGGAGTCATGTGGAGTCTATTTTTCCCCATTTACAAATCACAGCAATATTTGCATGATGCTTCTGCCCAGGGAAGCCCATCCCATGTCCCTTGCCCACAGTTTTATTAGAACTGACCTTACAGGCACCTTCTCGTTGGCACATCCAAAATTCCAGACTCCCAGAAGGAAAGTAGGTGTTCAGTATAAACCAGATTGTGCGGGCACCTTCTAGACCCAGTAAGTGACCCTCATCAGTTCATTGTTGACTGGAAACATTGTGAGAACCAAGAGCCAGCCTTGCAAGCAGGCCTTTGTAAGGATAGCATCAGGCCTGCCACAGCTAGTAACCCTTTCTCATACAAGCCAGTTCCTTCATTTTTGCCTAGTTGTTTAATTTTGGAGGAACTTAGTTGCCTGTCTACATGGACTATCCTACAGTGTGAGTCTTTAAAATTGTATCCCAATAATGTCCTTTAACATACTGTTTTGTCCTTTGTATTCCTTATAAATTAATATTTAATTCTAGGCTGGGAATGTAGCTCAGTGGTGCCGCACCTGCCTGGAAACTGTAAAGTCCTGAGTTTGATCCCCAGTACTGGAAAAAAAAAATTAATTCTAAAAACAATCGGATTCTACATCCCTTTTTTATAGGGATTGCAAACTGACAGTATTTTTGATTGATTGATTGATTGATTAATTTGTTTTTTGGGGACAGGTGTCACTATGTAGTTGAGGCTGGCCTTGAACGTACTGTGTAGCCTTGAGCTCACAGTGATCCTCCTGCCTCCGCCTCCCTAGTGCTGGGATCACAGGCATGGGCCACCACATCTGGTTTAACTTCCCTGATTTTATATTGTAGCTCTTAAGGTAGAAATGTTAATTCACATAATTATTATTTGCTTTATCTTAAAACGTATGTGATGGTTTTTAAATAATAATATTAATAATATAATTACTAAAAACAATTAAATATTTTCTTGCAGGTCTTTTTATGTGTAGGTATATTCTATTAGGAATGTATCATTAATTACTAAAAAGCATATAATTTTAAAATTTGAACCATTTTTCTTTTGTGCAGTTTTGCTACCAGTTGGCTATACTACTTCATTTATATCATGTTGTTTTCCATTTTTGCTTTTTAAATTTAATTTGTTTTCTATTTGTATAAAAGTTATATTGTTCTAGAGTCAAATATATGAAACAAATATATTCATAGAAATCTGGTTTCTTTTCCTACTGCCTTCACCCTGTTGCTTCCCTCTTAATTCCTCAAGTAATTTTTTAATCAAGTTTTAAATTTATTTTCTTTTGCTTCTTTAAAGTACAATCAAATATGTGGTATGTGGGGCTGGGGATTTAGCTCAGTGCTTCCGGCGCCTGCCGCGCAAGTGCAAGGTCCTGAGTTCGATCCACGGTACCAAAAAACAAACAAACAAATATGTGATATGTTTGTACCCCATCCCTTTAAATAAATGGTATCATATTGTGAACCTTTCTACCTTTCTTCCACTTTGGTTTTTTTCTTTTTATTTTCGGTTTTTGAGAGTCTTACTATGTAGCTCAGACTGACCTTGAACTCACTATGTAACCCAGCGTGGCCTCAAACTCATGGTGAACCTGTCTCAGCCCCCTAAATGCTGGGATTAAAGGGATGAGCCACTATGCCCAGCCCACCTTGCTTTTTTCAATTAATGATATAACTTGGAGATGATCCCTGGTGGTAAGTGTATGGAGATACCCCTCCTTTCTTTGTACAGTTCCCTGTGGATATCCTAGGGATGTCCTAGGGAACTGATTGTACTTCAGAAACTGAGTTGTAGTCTTATCTAATGGATATTCTTTTGTTGCAATCTAAATAGGAAAACACTGCTACCAGATAAAGAGAACAAATAATCTATTAGTACACAACAGAGTAAAGAATAAGCCCCTCTTGGGGGGTGGGTATGGGCCATTGCGAAATGTATGATAGCTACATGGGCTGAGGGTGTTAGGGCCACTTCACAAAGCAGTTAGGGTTGAACTGAATAGGACCTTAAAACTAAATAGGTTTTGTTTTGGGTCCTGGGGATTAAATCCAGGGCCTTGTGCATGCTAGGCAAGCACTCTGCCACTGATCTGCAGCCTTGATGTTTTTTTTCTTTTTCTTTGTTTCAGACAGGATCTCACTAAGTTGCCCAGGCCAGCTTCCAGCTTGGCAATCCTTCTCCCTCAGCCTCCTGAGGGGCTAGGATTCCAGGCATGTGCCGCCAGGATAGGGTTTTTGTTTTTTGGGTTTTTTTTGGTACCGGGGATCAAACTCGGGACCTTACACTTGTGAGGCAGGCAGCGGAACCACTGAGCTAAATTCCCAAAATTCATTTTCTTTTTGTTCTTTTTTTGGTATATGGGGGATTGAACTCAGGACCAGTGCTACTGAGCTAAATCCCCAGCCCTCAGGATAGGGTTTAAATGGATGGACAAAGAGGATGTTTCAGGCTTGGGGAAATGGGGGGGGGGCAGGGTAGAAGTCTACACTCTAACTGTGAATGAGTTATTCAGAGGACTGTGCAAAACCCCTCAGATCTGAGGAGAAAGAGAACATAAGAGCAGGTTGGAAAATAAATCGGGTCCACTTGTGAGAGCATGCACTGCCGGACTAGAAAGCTGACAATTGTGAAGGCTTGGCTTTCCACCATTGCTGTAACTCTTTGGAAGCCTTTGGTGGCTTCAGTGGCAGAATTCTAAACGAGGACAGAACATCTGAACTGTGCTGCCAGACCGCTGCTCTCAGAACAAAGTGTAGGGCTTCTTAAAGGTGTGGGGGAGATGCAAACTTAAATCAGATACGAGCAGTGGCAAAAGAGATTTGAGAATTTGGAGGTAGACTAGATGGACGGTACTTGCTCCTTGCCTTTTAATGGGTTTCCAGAGTAGTGGGAGTAGACAGGGAGAGAGAAGGGGCTGTCAGGGATGAGTGCAGTTCCCTGTCTGGGTGCGGGAGTCAGCAGTGGCTTCAGGCCCCAGACTCCTTTCCACACAGCCACAGTGACACAGTCTCCCTTCGTTTTCTTTTCTGTGTCTAGTGTGCCCTCTAGTGTCTGTGCCTGGTTCTGAGGCCTCTTGAGGGTCAGGAAATGGAGCCTGGCTTCAGTGGAGCCCTGTTCTCCGCAACACCTCACTGCCTTCCTTCCCTGTCTTCCCTCAGGGTATTGCAGGCACAGACGTGGCAAAGGAGGCATCAGACATCATCCTCACAGATGACAACTTCACCAGCATCGTGAAGGCAGTGATGTGGGGACGAAATGTCTACGACAGCATCTCCAAGTTCCTGCAGTTCCAGCTCACTGTCAATGTGGTGGCTGTGATCGTGGCCTTCACTGGAGCCTGCATCACTCAGGTGAAGTGACTGAGAGGTGGGCTGAGACGGGAAGGTTGAGGCGGTGGCTGGGGAGCATGGCAGAGGGAGCAGAACAAGGGTTTCCCCAGTGGTGTCGGGGCAGGAAGTAGCTCAACTAGCTGGGTCCATCCCCTCCATCTGCTTATGTGGAATCATCATAATTTACCCAGCACCTTGTGTCAGCTGCTGTGCTGTGCACTTACGTGTCTTATCTGTATTCTTCAAAAGCAAGCTCGGAAAGTAGGTATTATCATCTCCCACTGTGTAGGAGAGGAACCCAAGGCTCAAAGGAGTTAAGCAGTTTTCTCAAGGTCACTCGGCGAATAGGTGGCCAGATTGAAAATCTAGGTGGATAGTCGGAGCAAGACCATTTCCGGAGAAAGATGGGGCTGGTGGCTGAGGCAGGTTGGTTTCCGGGGAGCTAAAAGGACTGGTTCTTCCTCCCACCAGGATTCCCCTCTGAAAGCCGTGCAGATGCTGTGGGTTAATCTAATCATGGACACCTTTGCTTCACTGGCCCTGGCCACAGAGCCCCCTACAGAGTCTCTGTTAAAGCGCCGCCCCTATGGCCGAAATAAGCCTCTGATCTCACGTACTATGATGAAGAACATCTTGGGCCATGCAGTCTATCAGCTTGCTGTCATCTTTTTCCTTGTTTTTGCTGGTGAGCCACAGGTGGGGTTGGGGGCGGTGGCTGGGGTGCTGGATGGAGATGGGGACAGCAAATGGCCTGAGGGAAGAAGATACAGCAGTGCTGGCCAGCCTTTCAGAGACTGAGTGCCCCAACTGCGACCCAAACCCCTTCTTCATCACAAAGTGCCAGCGCTCCAACTAAACCTGAATGCTTGGCTGTTGGGGCGATTCTAGGACAATGTGGCTCCTGTGCCGACAGAGAGGGCTCTTCGTGCCTGCTGTGGCACACGTGCCATAGGCTTACCACCGCCGAGATACAGTGTGGGAGCAGAAGGAGTCCAGACAGCGCATAGCAGCAGCTTTTCCTACTAAGTGTTCCCTATGCATTTCTGCTGCCTCGCTCGCTCCAGGGCACCTAGTCTGACCGCTGTGCTTTCCTATGAGAAAGCAGATACTGATAGAAAAACGAAGAGACAGGGTCAGATAGTTTGAGACCAGGGCTAACATTTAAAAGATTCGGTTAAGCCAGGTGTGGTGGCACACACTGAAATCCCAGCTATTCGAGAGGCTGAGGCGGTTTCCGGATCAGCCTGAGCAACTGAGTGAGACCCTGTTTCAAAATTAAAAAATAAAAAAGGGCTAGAGATGTAGCTCAACACTCCCTGGGTACAGTCCCCAGTACTGCAAAACAAACAAGCAGACACATTTGATAACTAGAAGAACTCAGAAATTGACGGATTAGAATGGATTTTCTAATGGCCATAAGGCACCAGTATGGCCACACAGCACGTGCTGGCTGAACTTGAGCCCTGTTGAGCCACAGGTACCTGCAGTGCTTGCCCTCTCCCACCCAGGTGAGAGGTTCTTTGATATTGACAGTGGGAGGAAGGCACCTCTGCACTCACCACCCAGCCAGCACTATACCATTGTTTTCAACACCTTCGTGCTGATGCAGCTCTTCAATGAAATCAACTCCCGAAAGATCCATGGAGAGAAGAATGTCTTTTCAGGCATCTACCGCAACCTCATCTTCTGCTCTGTAGTCTTGGGCACATTCATCAGCCAGGTGAGACTCTGGAGCTGGGGCCCTGGGAAGGTGAAGGCTAGAACCTGGGAGCCCACATTCCCTAAGTCCCCAAGGAAAGGAGCAGGGTGTAATGGGGACTGAGGCTGGGGTTTGACCCTGGGATTCCCAGTTGGCTTCCATTTGCACTTTACTCAAGAAGTGGGGACCAGAACGTCGAGTGCTCCAGTGCAAGGCAGCACATCGGTTGCAAATAAGATAAGGCTTATACAGTTCTTTTATGATTTTCTAAATATACAGAAATTCCATGCAGTGACCAAGAAAAAGGTCGCTGTCTTCTAGCCCCTGTCTGTGCCTCCTGCTGGCATGAAATGTGCGTGCTCACATAGGGTAGGCTCCATTCCCTCTGTTCGGAAGAGGCTCGTTTTCGTGGTAGAAAGTGCAGCACAGTTCACAGAGGAGAGGAGGGGCAGGTGGGGCATATGTGGCTGATTCTGTAAACCTGGCTCGAGCTGCTGTGGGAAGTAGGGTCAAGTGCGTGGCTACCCTGGTGGTAAACAGATGGGCCCTTCCTTCTTCCCAGGCAGAGGTACCCTAAAACATCTGGAAGGGTACAAAGGGTTACGGACAAGCCACACATGAACAGGCCGTACAAAGAGAAGAACTCCCACTACTCCACCCTTCTGTAGGATGCCTCCCTTGTGCGTCCCTCACCCTCAGTGCCTCCTTTCTATTGCTTTGCCTTCTCATCACCCACTGGCTTTGGTCACAAGAAGCTCACCGCTGACTCCACTCTGCCAGATCTTACGTTAGTCTCGGTCTTAGCAGTCGTAGGAACTGTGTCTCCCCATCAGAGGGCTCTGGAAAGACCGCATGTGTCTCTCCTTATCCTCCACTCGATCTCTTCTTTCCCTTTCTCCAGCAAGCAAGTCAGGACTCGCATCACAAGGACCCTTGGGCAGGGGCGTGATGTTGCTTTGGTTGCCATGGCTGGGGAGCAGCCACCTGTCCGTCCCCTCCCTGATGGTAGGCTGCCCCTTTCTCTGTCCTAGGTTCTCATTGTGGAGTTTGGGGGGAAGCCCTTCAGTTGCACCAAGCTCACCCTGTCCCAGTGGCTGTGGTGTCTCTTCATCGGGATTGGGGAGCTCTTGTGGGGCCAGGTGAGTACTGGCGCGCCTCCCGTGCCTTTGTACAGCACACGCCGTGCAGACCTCCTGTCCTGCGCCTGAGGTGGGTCACACAGCCGTCCGGCCGGCCTCTCGGCTCCTCGCCGCCGGCCTCTCCCTCCCGCCCAGGTGTCCAGGCTCCCTTCATCCCGTGGCATCACCAGGTGGAGTGCTCACTGCCCATTACTTCAGCGCTTTTGGGTCCTTCTCTAACCATGTCTGGAAAACACATAGCTTCTCTGAGACACCAGTAGAACTTTGCAGTGGAATTTTGCTTGGAAAGGAGGGGTGTGTTTTAGAAGTAGAAGAGGTTATAGGCCAGGTGGGGTGGTGGATGCCTGTGTCCCAGCCCTCGGGAGTCTGAGGCAGGGGGAGCACGTGAGTTTGAGGCCTGCCTGGGCTACCCAGTGAGTTCAAGGCCAGCCTAAATGATTTCTCCCCTGGTTGTTTCCCCCAGGTCTTAGTCTCTGTCCCTACTGGGTATGTGCCATGTATCCTAGTCCTCTTTCCTTTAAAGACATAAAGCAAACTGGAAAGGAAGAGGAATTATAAATTATATAAGTAGGAAGATGGCCGGTAGATTTCTGGACTACAAGTTCTCCAGAAACCCTCCCTAGAGCTGGACAGCTGGTGAGCCTTTGGCGCCTGCTTGGCTGGCAGATCGGCGCTCCTCCCCGACGCACTCCTGTGGGCGGGATAATGGGGCAGGATACCGGCAGGGGCTGCCCTGGGTAAGTCCCCTGACAGCTCTGCCGCTCTTGTCCTCAGGTCATTTCTGCGATACCTACTCAGTCTCTGAAGTTCCTGAAGGAGGCTGGGCATGGCACTACCAAAGAGGAGATCACCAAGGATGCAGAGGGGCTGGATGAGATCGACCACGCTGAGATGGAGCTTCGCCGAGGCCAGATCCTCTGGTTCCGGGGCCTGAACCGTATCCAGACTCAGGTACTCTGCTGTGGCCTGTCCTCACCCTGGGAAAAGAAACCTCCTTGTCTCCAGAAGTGGTGGGAGGGCAGCAGCAGTTTTTGGCAGCCAGCATCTCCCTCCCGCCTAAGGCTCACTACCAAAGGGCTCCCTAGCTTAGGACCAACAGAGCAGTGATACCGGCGTGGCTGCCATCTCCAAGGAGAGTAGCCGTGGTATCCAGACCATGGCCCATTGCTAGCAGCGTCCTTCAGTTATGGCCTGGCTCCAGGGCCCACGCTGCCAGCCTTTGGGGCCAGAAAAGCTTCATGCAGAAGGTCTTTTGCGAGCACTATCCCTGACCCAAGGGTGGGGAATGTGCAGCCTCTCCCTGCCTCCCAAGAGGAAGGAGAGACAAAATCCCCTCATCAGCATCCTCAACAGTCACTTAATGTGACATCCTCAATGCTGCTGTTATGGTAATCAATATTATCTGGAGGGATCTTTGTAAAAGAAGTTCACCCCCGCTTCCCCCACTTCAAATTTAAGGCCTTGGTGGGGAATTTGACGATTGAGTGTGTATAAAGGACAACAGCCTCTGAGTGTCTTCTGCAGGCTTCAGACTGCTTCCCAGAAAGGAAGAAACTATCCTTTCTCCAGACCCTTTTCCTTCTTATAATTTCTGAAATGGGATAGAAGCTGCGCCAGCTGCTCCTAAGTCCCCTGACTGTGGCCCTCTAGTGACTTTCTTTTCACTTTCCATGCAGTAGTTGTAACTCTCTCTTGGGTAAATGGCCAGTCCAGGCCTTGCCAGTCCCCTCCCCTGCTCCCACCCCACACACCTCTCCTGTTTTATTCCCCTCAAGACACTGTTAATCCCAAGATCTCTAGGATGCTCTCCAGAGTCCAGGCCTATTTCTGTCAGTTGGCGGGAAATCCCCAAACTAGTTCACTCTCAAAAACTGGCCTTGCACATGATTTAGAAAATTGCCAGCCAGCCCCGCCTTCTTCATACATAGAGAAGACAGGCAGAATGAATACTCTGAATTTCGTGCCTGGTAGGAGTTCATCTCCATGGGGCAGACCACGGACAGAAATAAACGTGGGGAAGGGAAACCCTGGGGCTTCCCCCAGGAAGGGACTGCAGCGGGACTGCACAGACTGCCTGTCAGTGTCCAGGGCTCTCATGGTCCCCCACCCCACCCTCCAGGCGCTGAGTCTGCCGGGTGCCCGTAGAGCCTGGTGCCTGGGCTCCCCTCTCTGAAGTCCCCAGTGCTTTCCTTTGGGTCTGCTTTTTTTTCAAAATAACCTCTTTGCTTTTCTTCCCCTCAGGATCACCTGCCTCCTTTTCTACTATGTGACTTTTTTTTCCTAGCCAGGATTCTCCTCGCTCCTTGCCAGTCTTCCCTCCTGGGGAGCCAAGAGTCATGGGGCTTCCTTCCTCTCCAGGGCCTATTCCCTCGACTGTGCTCCTGTCTGTCTGGTATCACTGCCTGCAGAGCTTTAGGGTTACTACCTTTCCTGTTGGAGCGTGAGGCAGTCAGTCAGCATGGCACTAAAGCCCAGACCTAGGCACCGAAGGCGACAAAGGTTACAGATGCCATGATGACCAGATCTGTGCCATTCTGGTGTGCACCTGACTGTGAGCAGATGAGGCTGAGTGTGAGGCATGTTAGTGTGTCCTGGGTACCCAAAGCCCACCTGGCATCCGCTCCTTATCTTCAGCAGGGTCCTAACAAAATCTCCTGCCACCTGATTGTTGATCCTTATTGTCAGTCTCTGCCACAGTTGGGGTGGAGGGGTTGCCCAGTCCTGCTTGGGATTTCTCCTCTCCCTGGTTCTAAGCTGTTCTTCCCCCTTCCTTTATTCTTTATAGCTTTATGGGAGCTAAAAGTGCTAGAAAGCAGAAATTTGGGGAATGTAAGGGGTAGCATCTTGAGGAGGTAAACCTAGAATGCAATTTCATTGTGGAAGTCAGGTCTCATAGCCCTAATAGGCACCGAGGAAGGATCTCTACAGCCCCTTCTCCATGCAGCTGGAACCCTGCTGAGAGCAACCCTTTCCTCCTGCAGGTTCAGGCTCCTCAGTCCTCTGGAACTGAAAGCTATAGCATGTGAGGAAGGGTGATGTTTTAGCTCAAACTCTGATATGTATGAATCCAGAAATTAACCTTAAGCATTTTGTGGCTTCTCAGGAAGCTTTATAAATAGGAGCAATATTCTGAGTTGCAAGGCACCTGCTTGCCTGTCTTCACCTGGAGATGAAGTCAGAGAACTGGGATCAGCACCTTTCCCATACTCCTGGGGAGCTGACCCTTGGAATTAGGCATGCAGGTTTTCCTGAGGAGCCACCAGATCTATGAATGATAAAGTGATGCCTTTTGATTTGTTTCTTGTTACTTAGGGGTCAAGGACACGGGTGGTAGATGTGATGGAGGGCCCAGATGGAGGCCATTGCTGGAAATGAATGGCACTAATTGCCTTTGTCTCTGAAAACCAGGGTCCATGTGGATGGTCTAGAGCGACTGCTGCTCCTCCCCCCTCGCTAATTTCTCCTCCCCACTCCCCAGTCCAGCTGCTGAGTTAGTCAGTATTCTGCCCGACATTTCTGGACCTCCAGCGCACTAACACAGCTCAGTGGTGTTCTCTCCAGTGGGCCTTGGCCACTGGATTCCCGAGCTGCATTTCAGCCTGGCACAGGGTATCTTGGGGAAGATACCTAGAAGACAATGCGCCAAGCAACTCACAATCCAAGGGCCTTTCCACTACGGCCAATTACGGATGGGTTACTATACTGCCTTTAAACGAATGCATTATTTTCTTGGAAAATCTGCAAAAGAATTAGTTGATTTATTTGGTTTAGAGGTTCCTGAGCCTTGACGTTCAGAAATATGTACTTTGCCTCAGTATCTCAAATTGCATGCCTTGTTTTTAAGAGTTTAGGTCAAAACCACGAATAAGCTGCCAATCTCTGCTCAGCTGTTAGGAGTGGTGGAGTGGGAGAAATCCCTTTAAATTTTAAAGACCCTTGGACACCTGCACACCTACAGTGTTCACCAGCCGCCAAAGGGGAAGGGAAAACTGGATTGTGGCTGGGTGTTAAGATTCCACAGCAAATTGTTCCTTAAATGATTTGTGATATGAAATTAACGCTCCCTCCCGCCATCACCATTGCCTTCTGTGAGGGAGTCCCTCTCTGGCTTTCCAGCCTCTGCCCC